ATCTTTCTAAAATAATACAGAACAAACATAAAGGTCATATCGCTAGGTATCTTCACAATGATAGATTGTCAGCTTGGATGTACTCAAGTTGTGGGCTATTAATGCCAGAAGATTTCTCTTCTAGATATAAATTTATTTTGGCAAGTGATTCACAAAGCATACAAATAGAGAGAATAAGATAAGAAACATTTACAGACACAAAAATATGTGCGGGCGGATGTATTATACACATACATACACACACATATATAAAGAATATTATATACTGACAAATATAGAGAACATATACATACAGACACATACATGTCTACATACACAAAGAATATATGCATATATATATATATATATATATATATATTCTTTTATGTGTGTGTGTGTGTGTGTATATATATATATATATATATATATATGCACACACACACACACAAACACATTATATATATATATATTACGCACACACACATAATTTGTGGTGGTGATGTATCTGTGCATATATTTGATTGATTTGCCAGGAAGCAAAAGAAAATACATCACATTCCTAAAATAATTTATCTATATCAATATATCATTATTAAAATTGCAACCCCATGTATAAATTATGTTTTGAGCTACTTGCAGGTTTTACAATTTTCTGGATAAAGTGTTTGGACACAAAAAAAAAAAAAAAAAAAAAAACTTTAATGATACCTACTTTTAAAACCCTGCTGCACTAATTTACAAGAGAGCAGTGAAAAGACCTTGGTCTAAGTCATTTCCTTGACTAAATGGCTCAATTCATTTTTATGTTCTTTGTTTTTTCTTTGGTGTTTGTGTGTGTGTGTGTGGCGCGGGGGGTGGTTGATTCTTAAACAGACTGCAAAGATCACTGAACTTCCTGTTCTCCACTGTATATGACACAATGCCTGAAGATTAGCCTGAAACTTAAATCATTCCTAATGTGTGTGATACTTCTTTGGATCGTTCCACTGCCCACAGGATAGAAAGATCCAGAAGGAGTAGCTGAGTGTCATCACAACAAAAAGGAGCCCTATTATCATTATTATTTTTAAAATCTAAGTTAGAAACACTTACGTATCAGAGGAAGGAAGAGGAGGGGGCAGTCGAGAGTCATCACAAAAAGGGATTATTACTATTATTATATTTTTTCAAAATCTAAGTTAGAAACACTTATACATCATAGATGCTTTCTCCTTTTATGTGCCATATCTCTTCTGCATGTGGACAGTGATGGCTCTCCACAACTTCCTATTCTTTGTAGCTTTAAATAACATTTGTCCACATAGTCTCTTTTCTGCCATTCACTTAGACAAGCTTATGCAGTAGGTCTCTCAATGTTTTCTTATGCACCACCTGATTTCAATATGTCATGTGTCAAATTCCCCAAGCCTTCTTTCCGCATTTGTTTCCCAGGAATTTCAAGTATTTCTTTATGATTCAAAATATAAATGTCCCTTATTTTTTTTTTTTTTCATTTTTGTTAAATGCTTCATCCATGGCATTCTCAGTATCCTTCTGTAGAAACATATTTCTATTAGTTTAAAGTCTCCTCTTTATTTGTGTACAAGAGCCATACATAAAAGCATGGTTGTATGTTATTTTGTGCTTCAAAATACAAATGTTCGGTTGTATCTTCAATATCCCAGCATACACTGGACAGAACACAACCATCTTCTACCCCCCCACATGTCAGCCTGTTCAGGCAGCAGATGCAGCAGCAGCTGGTAATCATTGCCTTTTCACATCTGCATAGACCAAAGCGTTAGGTATGTACTCAAGGTGTCATTTTAAATTTGCAGTAGACGTAAAACCAAGAAGGAAATATGTGTTTGTTGTATGAAGAGTTGGTAGGAATGTGATCTGGGATATAAAGAGGGTGACAGGTGGCAAAAGTTTGCAAACCACTGACTTAAATATCCCTTCCTGTTTATATGTATTTCATCAAGTACAGAATTTACAAAATAATTTTAAACATTAATTGGCCAATGAGATTTAAACATTAATTGGCCAATGAGATTTAAACATTAATTGGCCAATGAGATTTAGTTATAAATTAAATGCAATAATGTTTGTTAAGCATGTGCAACGAAAAAGAGGAGATATCAAAGAATCTCAATTGGAAAATACAAAACCAGTTTCTTTTCCTTGTTTTTTTTTTTTTTTTTTTTATATATATACTATTGCTCACCCAATACAAGACTCAAGAGCCACTCAAGGTAAAGGTTTAGTGAATGCAGTTATTGCAAAGGGGTACAGAGAGGTACATATTATAAGGACATGTAGGATAGAGAACGGTTGACCCTAGACTTGAAGAAGTTAGGATTGTATTGATCAGGGAATCATCCTTTCGGAAGTCTGTTCAACAATGTAACAATTCTAAAGCAGAATCTGTTCAAATGGGATTTCTTCCTTACTAATGGAAGACAAAGGGAACTGATACCATATATGTGACAGGCAGGTCAGAGTGGAGGTCTGAACCGGTTAAACTAAAGAAATTAGCTCATCTGAATATCTGCCACAAAAATAGCAATATAGTTTGGTTTGGTTTATTTTGCTTTATGGCATATCAACCTCAATGCCGACAACATTTTTAGGATAGATTCGTATGAATAGAATATGTATTCTTTGGTTTAGATTGGTTTGGTTTATTTTGTTTTACAGCATATCAACCTCAATGGGTTATTTAATGCTGACAAAATTTTTTATTGCTGGTAATATTTTGTTTTGTCAAAAATCTGTTTCTGGTAATATTTTTCCTTCAAAATTGTATTGCTGGTAATAATTTTTTTTCAAAAAATTATTGCTGGTAATAGTTAACTATTTTCCCATAGCTGGGACCCTAACAGATGCTACCACCCCAGGGTCAGGGTAGACCTGGGAACACCAGCAATTAAGAGGTGGTTCCACACTCCTCAAAACTTTCTGATTAGAGGCCTTGCTGCTGGATGTAGTTTATCGTCTTACCCAGGACGCGGATGCAGTTTAATGTCTTACCCAGGACAAAAAATAGCAATATAGAGAAAGGTCAGTTAGTAACTTTTCATCTGTGTGATAGGGGTTCTTGGATGGAAAATAATTTATCACCCACAAAGCCATGTAAACACTTTTGAACTCTTTCAAGGTTGGAAATTAAGTATTGGGCAGCTCCAGCCTAGACATGGCAGTAATGCTCAATTTTCAACGTGATCTGACTCTTGTAAAGATATAGTATGGCAGGAGTCTACTTCCTAGACTGGCTCACGGACTAGCCACAGGCTATCAACAAAGCAACTGCTTATAGTTAATGAAGTTGGGAATAAATCCAAATGAAAACAAAAGGATGAAAGTTTTAATATGATACCCATTTGTAGTGTCTTCATATGCCAGGGAAATAGAGACATTCCTAACTTAATAGTATTAGGTTTGTTCAGAAAATAATGTCAGACTGTTGTCCTCATCTTTATTGCCATATTCACAACATTTTGGCCATTGTACGCTCCGGCCTTCTTCAGGTGATTGGAATTTTGAACTGAATACTTTATTTCACCCACCTGGGTAGATTGTTCTTGTTTCACATGACACACCTCTTCTGGATGTCTCAGTTATCACCCTTTAACTAAACTCTTCAAATTTTTGTTCACGACTGCAGTAGCTAGTTATTGAGCTCACAACACTTTGGATCAGGTCACTGGATCCAGTTAATGAACAATCTGAGCTGGTGGAGGAAATAAAGGGTTCAATTAGAAATTACAGTCACCTGAAAAAGGCCGGACTGTGCACTGGCTGAAACGTCATATGGAAATAAAGCTGAGGACAATACTCCAAACAATGTAAATAGTCTGTCTTTATTATTGCTATCACAGTATTTTGGTCATTGTGCTCCCTGACCTTCATAAAGTGCTTGTCAATCTAGGTAAGTCTCAGGTAATTTCAAACTCTAACAGTAGCAGCAGAAACACTAATAAAAAAAGAAAAATCTTGGTGAATGCAGCCAAGTTTAACAAGCAGCAACATGTCAGCAGCAGACAGGCAAATTTTAAGGCTCCAAGTTCCTGACTCAGGACTGTCTCACGACTAGTGGATTTAAAGCAATGGTTCATGAATTTGGTCACATAGTACTAGTGAGTTTGATCCACGAGCCAGGCGATTGTACTTGATAGAAACAAGGTAATAACTGGGTAGTAATAAATATGAACTAGTAAAGATACCCTTAGATATAGTCAGCGAGATGAGAACAATCTTCCTCAAGACATTAAATAAATAGTTCAGTTGAAAATCCCCTAGAAGTTATCAGGAGTGTAAATAATTGTTATGGGGTTCACCCCTTTTTCATACAAGTGGACTCGACCAGTGTGTACTTGTACTACTGCTGGTGAATACCCGGAAGTTGGAAGATAGTGAGTGAGTAACAGAGACGGAGTGATACAGTGAGGTAACCGCTTTGTAGGAGTCACAGTTGCGAGCATGTAGACTCAGAAGGAAGTCATACCTCGATACTGAATTTCCCAGATTGTATATATATATATATATATATTATTATTATTGCTGCTAACCGCATTTCTGGATCTACTAACCGTATTACTAATTGTATTATTACATCAATACATTTATTTGCTATATTTCATTCCTGCGTTTGTCATTCATTTGAAACCGGATTTCATCTCGGAATCCACAACAATAATAAATACCAAAATTTAATCTAAAAGTTCAAGAAAAACATGATCAAAAGGACATCAAAAGTAGGTTGATTGACTGATTTGTTTTTTACGGTTTATCAACCTTTTGCAGGTTATTAAAAGCCAGAAAATATTTTTAGATTGTAAGAATTTTTTTTGAGATAATAATGATTTACTGATACAAATCTTACTAATTAACCCATAACTGATGGGGAGAAGAGGTGGATTCATACCTCCCCCAGTGGTAATCGCACGTAAGTGAATATAATGAATCTGACTGGAAGCAGAAATCAGCTCTTCGATTTGCATTTCAGAGCCGTTATCAATTACACCTGCTACAAAACCAAGCTTACATCACCTGGTATTCCCAAGCAATTACCCATCTAGTTACTGACTAGGCTTGATGTTGCTTAACTTCAGTGATCGTACAAGAACTGGTGTTTCAATATGATTTGACCACAAACTACATTGGAAGTAGAACTATCAGTTTCAAACAATAAAGTTATAGCAACATTGCTACATGATATAGCAAGCTCCCATGGTACATTATTACATTATTTTATTTGAAAGTTATACAATACGCTGGCCAGTAACTTAGAGGATAAAAACATTGAGATTATAGACAGAAAAACATATGGAACAAGAGAGAATAAATACAGATAAAACATGAAATGTGATGCTAAAATAAATGCAGAAAGAAAGTAGTAAAAAAAAAAAAAAAAAACTAATAATAATAAGGATAATAATAAATGTCATAATGCAAGTAATGGTACAAACTAAACATAAACCAAAATGGGTGGGGAGGAAAAATTACAGTTTTTTCCTCACCCATAATTTGAAAAGCTGCAGACAGTTTTTATTTTGTTTAAAAAAAAAAAAAAAAACCCTTGGGCATAAACAAACACAGATGAAAATTATCATTATAATCTCACTCTCTGTCCACAACAATGAGTGTTACAAACTGCAACCATAAGCAGTAATTTAAAAAAAAATTTTTTTTTTTTTAAAAGACAGAATCCCCATTCACCAACACCCTACAATATCATGCTATCAACTTCATATCCATGGAAAATCTCTCCTGCGTACTTTACCTGGAGGCAATCTGACAGAATCTAAGAGGATCCTACACGATTTTTTTTTAAAGTTCTTCCAACACCTTTTTTTGTTATATTCATTTATCTTTACAGTCTGACAAGAAATATTCAGCAGCAGTAGCCATGCTTCCAAAATTATTCTAGATTTGAGGGTGGGGGAAGTAATGACTATCATAAAATCTGAGCAGATTCTCCGTCCGTCACAAACCATGTCTGAATATGACTCTGCATGCACGTAATTAACTTATATAATTCTGTGTTGTGCATGTGTCTGTAAAATTTAATATACACACAAACATACATGCATAATTTGACTGAGTCTGAAATAAGACAGTGGAATAATACATTTCCCTCCTACTCAGTCTGGACAACTCCTACCCTGGCTGAGCAATAAAAAAAAATTCAAGTTAGAGACAAAAAAAAAATTCTTAAAATCCTAAAATAAAGATTTTATTGGACTTTTCAGAAATTACTTAGGTATAAATAAAACTATTTTTTAGAGATTTTCTAATTTTGTGGAAATAAATCTTATATTTGTAATGGAATTAAAATAACATATACAGTCAGACAGACAATTTAAATGAAATAGAAACAGACATCTGTAGATTAAATAAAGGGTTCATTTTGAAATTCTCTGAAGGTTACTGTTGTAGCATGCCTACAGACGATAATGGGTATGTCCCCATTCCTGTAAATACTATATGTTGGTTTGTAGTTGGAAAGTCATCGTGGAATTCATTTGACTCACTTACAGTTAACTACTTTTAGGTGCCGCTGGCAAATCTTATATGTGTTGTTCGTGTCCTAAGTATTATCGTTCATTACCAACCTTCGTGGGATTATTCTATTCAGTAACGTTCCCTAGGTTACAACAGTTACCAAGACTGACAAGCACCTAATGAAAGCCAGAGAGCACAATGGCTGAAACATTGTGATAACAACAACAAAGATGAGGACAATAGTTTGCATGTAAATAATATAAATAAAGTAATTAATTCAGCCTAGTCTGTTGCATTCACTTGTGCTAATGCCATTGCAAAAGGCATGACCCCCATTTCTTCTCACCAGCTATAGATTGGGCTCTCTAGCCTTGGGTGATGGCCAGTCTAGGAGAAAGATAACTCTGAATTCAAAACAGATGGAAAAGACAATGGGAAGCCACTCCACTATCTTTCCCCAAGAAATCATGGCAATTCACAAATAATAAGTAAAAGAAATCTGTGGAGAAACACTAATGCTGACATACTGAAGGAATGTGGCATTAAAAAAATGAATTGGTTATATCTAGGCACAATCCTAGAAAATAGTAAGACTACTTATCTCAAGAATTAGACTCATGTTGTCCTTCCTGACAAATTTTAGAACTCATAAGCATAAATTCTTCCTCATGATGTTGACTGGTGCCACCTGACGCAAGGATTGATAGTTTGGGTTTTTTTTGTTTCTTTTATGACATATCAACACCTGAATAGATTATTTAATGCCAACAAGAATTTTAGGATAGGTTTGAATGAATAGAATATATAATCTTTGGTTTAGTTTGGTTTGGTTTATTTTGTTTTACGGCATATCAACCTTAATGAGTTACTTAATGGCAACAAGATTTTTAGGATATATTTGAATGAATAGAATATGTATTCTTTGGTTTGGTTTATTTTGTTTTACAGCATATCAACCTAAATGGGTTATTTAATGCCAACAAGATTTTTAGGATATATTCAAATGAATAGAATATGTGTTCTTTGTAAGAAATCAGTTTATAGATCAGGTTTCATTGATGTATTTTTGTAAAGTGGGTTTTTGTCGAGAGTCTAACGTATTGTTGGTATTTTTTTTCTTTTGGTATTTTTACTATAAAAATAAATTTTTATACTTTCATCATGTGTTAAACCCATTCTCATGATTAACTATTTTCCCATAGATGGGACCCTAACAGGTGTTACCAACCCAGATCATGGTGTACCTCGGAACAACAGCAATTAAGAGGTGGGTTTACGCTACTCAAAACCTTCCAATCAAAGACCTTGCTGCCAGAAATAGTTTATCGTTATACCCAGGATGATGCAAGGATTGAATTCACATTTTCCAAGAAACCAGACAAGCTTTATTAACAATTTTGGAACTGCTTTAAAATTGAATTTAGAGAGAAAAAAAAAAACTCAAAGAGGAATGAAATGTAATTTTTTAATTTATAATTAATGAATGGGAAACCCAGTCTAAAAGAACAAAGTAATGACAATTTCTTATCTCTGAAACTTAAACAAAGCCATAGATACAATAACCAAACTTATGCGATCAAGACAACAAAGATGAGAACAGAATCAATTTATCGTAGTAACAACACCTGGTCTTAGAAACTGAAATATTTAGCTGCATATTATATTATAGATTAAAGGCTAAACTCCAAAGGCATGAGTTATATAACCAGTTACAGATTTTATCAGGACAACTGCTAAGAAAGTTGGTACACAGTGTTGTGAGAGATTTTTCTCTCCAGAATCTATCTTACATATCTATAAGTCTACCATTCATCCATGCTTAGAATATTGATGCTACATATGGTCTGGTGCCCCTGCTATTTACCTTGAGCTCTTTGATAAGATCCAAAAAAGAATCAGCAATATTATCAGTCCTGATCTGGCGGCTTGGCTTCAGTCATTTTCTCCATTGCAGTAAGGCTGCCTCTTTATCTCTTTTTTATAAATACTTTCATTGTAATTGTTTTGTTTTTTTTTAATTTAAGCCCAGTAATAGACTGGCAGCAAGATTTCATCAATTTAAAGTTGAGCTGGCTAGATGTAGCTGTAAGTTCTATCCGAACAGTTAATTCTCTCGCACTTCTCACTTGTGGAACTCCCTTCCAGCTTCATGCTTTCCAGCCAACTTTAATCTGCCAAAATTTAAATGCAATGTCAATCGCTATCTACTGTACACTTTATTACTCTTTTCTGTTTTCACTCATTATCAATGTGTATTCCTAATTCTTCCATACCCTGTAAACCCTTGTGATTTAGTGGCTTTATTGCCTTGCATGGGGTGATACCAATTAAAATCAGTATTTTAATGCAATGGTTATTGCTATCTACTTTCCTCCTGATTACTCTTTTCTCTTCCCGCTCATTATTAATGTTTCGGTTCCTAATTCTTCCACACCCTGTAACCGCTTGTGTTTTAGTCGCTTTACTGCCTTGCATGGGGTGATACCATTTAAAAATAAAAAAAAAAATAAATAAATGGTATATTTACCTGGGTTCCCCACAGGATGTGATACAAGGTCATTTTAACATGGTTGGTAAGCACCATACGTATACATATGGGCCAAGGATAACATTTTTTTTGCCCAGTCCTGTGACCACCACTGTCATGCTGGCATGGTATCACACCAACCCTACCTCTCTTACTGAAATGAGGATGGTACTGTCGCAGAGTTGGAATTCCCAGGACTGGGCAAGTTCTCCCATTTAAAATGAAGAGAAATATTCACTCCATTTCCGGCACAAAAAATAAGTTCCATGCCAGGATTTTATAAGGATCAGTATATGGGCCTTGAATTTTTCTCAAATAGATGAGACTTGTGTGCACCCTGGGTTTGAATTAGAGAGTGGCAAGTGAAGTAACTGGCCAGGGTTAAGTGGAATTGACAAAATTGTCAACAAGTGAAATTCATAATGAATAATAAGAAAAGAAGGAAAAAGAACAGGCCAGACATAATACTAAGCAAACAGTATACTTGCAAGTCAAAACTAAGCAAACAGTATACGTGCAAGTCAAAACTAAGCAAACAGTATACGTGCAAGTCAAAACTAAGCAAACAGTATACGTGCAAGTCAAAACTAAGCAAACAGTATACGTGCAAGTCAAAACTAAGCAAACAGTATGCAAGTCAAAACTAAGCAAACAGTATCGTGCAAGTCAAAACTAAGCAAACAGTATACGTGCAAGTCAAAACTAAGCAAACAGTATACGTGCAAAAGTCAAAAACTAAGCAAACAGTATACGTGCAAGTCAAAACTAAGCAAACAGTATACATGCAAGTCAAAACTAAGCAAACAGTATACATGCAAGTCAAAACTAAGCAAACAGTATATATGCAAGTCAAAACTAAGCAAACAGTATGCATGCAAGTCAAAACTAAGCAAACAGTATGCATGCAAGTCAAAACTAGTCAAAGCAACAAGACAAAAAGTTCACAAAGTAAGAATGGTGTTGATACACAAAAAGGTTACAGTCAAGTTGTTATAGCATTCTGGTATCAAGGTAAGAAAGAAAAATATAGCAGATGAAACTCAGAATTGTCCTTTTTCATTAGTAAGCAAGAAATCCCAGCATGCATCTGTAAGATTAGTCTATAAATTTTAGGAGGGTGA